GTTCACAGATGAAGAGGAATTTTGCCTCAGGATGGAATATGCCTAAAGTCTCACCTGTATTTGATTTAGATGAGTCAGAAGATAACATTTTAGACATGGAGTTGATTTAAGACTTTTGGGATGATGTGATGGGGTGAATATATTTTGTATGTGGCAAAGACATGAATTTGGAGGTAGGCAAAGATTGAAACATTACAAATTGAATTATATCCCCCAAAAATATGTGTTGTAAATCCTAACCTCTATATCTATGGTTGTTATGATCTACACAATTGAATGCTTTTGCATAGTCAATAAAACACAAGTAAACATCTTTCTGGTATTCTTTGCTTTCAGCCTAGATCCATTTGACATCAGCAAAGATATCTTTCATTCAATGTCCTCTTCTGAATCCAGCTTGCATTTCTGGAAGTTCTCTTCAATATATTGCTGCAACCGTTTTTGAATTATTTCAGTACTTGCATGTGATATTAATTATATTGTTTGATAATTTTTACATTTTGTGGAATCACCTTTCTTTGGAATGGGTATAAATATGTGTTTCTTCCAGTCAGTTGGCTAGGTAGCTGTCTTCCAAATTTCTTGGCATAGCCAAGTGAGTGACTCCAGCACAGCATCTGTTTGTTGAAACATCTCAATGGGTATTCCGTCTATTCCTGGAACCTTGTTCTTCACCAGTGCTTTCAGTGCAGCTTTGACTTCTTCCTTCAGTACCACTAGTTTTTGATCATATATCACCTCCTGAGATGGATGAACATCGACCATTTCTTATTGGTATAGTGACTCTGTGTAATCTTTCCACCTTCTTTTGATGTTTCCTGCATCATTCAATATTTTGTCTATAGAATCTTTCAATATTGCAACTCGAGGCTTAAATTTTTTCTTCAGTTCTTTCAGCTTGAGAAATGATGAGTGTGTTCTTCCCTTTTGGTTATCTAACTTCAGGTCTTTGGACATTTCATTATAATAATTGACGTTTTCTTGAAGTGCTCTTTGAATCTTCTGTTCAGCTCTTTCATCTTGTCAATTCTTCCCTTTGCTTTAGCTACTTTCCATTCAAGGGCAAGTTTCAGAGTCTCTTCTGACATCCATTTTGGTCTTTTCTTCCTCTCTTGTCTTTTTAATGACCTTTTGCTTTCTTCATGGATGATGCTCTTGATGTCATCCCACAATTCCTCTGGTTTTCGGTCATTGGTGTTCAATGCATCAAATCTGTTCTTTAGGTGGTCTCACTTAATTGTGCTCATGAGGATCTTGTACATAGACCAGGAGGCTATTATTCTAACAGAACAAGGGGACCCTGCATGGTTTAAAATCAGGAAGGGAGTATGTCAGAAGAAGCTGGATTATATGAAGAAGAGTGTGGCATCAGGATTGAAGGAAGACTCATTAACAACCTGCAATATGCAGATGACACAATTTTTTTTGCTGAAAGTGAGGATGACTTGAAGCAGTTACTGATGAAGATTAAAGACTATAGTCTGCAGTATGCATTACACCTCAACATAAAAAAAAATGAAAATCCTCACAACTGGGCCAATAAGCAGCATCATGATAAATGGAGAAAAGATTGAAGTTATCAAAGATTTCATATTACTTGGTTCCACAGTCCACAGAAATGGAAGCAGTAGTCAAGACATCAGAAGACGTATTGCACTGGGGAAATCTGCTGCAAAAGACCTCTTTAAAGTTCTGAAGAGCAAAGATGTCTCTTTGAAGACTAAGGTGAGCCTAATCCAACCATGGTGTTTTCATTCATTTCATATGCATGTGAGAGCTGGACAATGAATAAGGAAGACTGAAGGAGAGTTGATGCTTTTGAGTTGTGGTGCTGATGAAGAATACTGAAAAGTACCATGGACTGCCAAAAGAACTAACAAATCTATCCTAGAAGAAGTGCAGCCAGAATTCTCCTTGGAAATGAGAATGGCCAGACTTTGTCTCACCTACTTTGGTCATGTTGTCAGAAGGGACCATTCCCTGGAGGATATCATGCTTGGTAAAATAGACTGTCAGCAAAGAAGGGGAAGACCCTTAATGAGATGGAGTGACATAGTGGCTACAACAATGGGCTCAGGTATAGCAAGTATTGTGAGGCTAGCACAGGACCAGGCAGTGTTTCATTCTGTTGTACATAGGGTTGCAATGAGTGGGAGCCAACTCAACCTGGCCCCTAACAACAACAAACATGTCTGTGGTTATAATCCCATTTGAGAATGGGTTGTCTTTGTTATGGTAATGAGGAAGGCTTGGTATATGGTTTATCTTGAGTCAATCTCTTTTGAAATATAAAAGAGATTAAGCAAGTGAGCAGAGCAGAGGTGGGGGAAGAGAGATGCCAAGCCACATGAAGATTTCCCAGGAGCAGAAGCTCAGAAGAGACAGAGACATTGCTTCAGGGCTGACACAGAGAAAGCCTTCCCTTAGAGCCATCACTCTGAATTCAGATTTCTAGCCTCTTAAACTATGAGAAAGTTAATTTATTTTTGTTAAAGCCATCCACTTGTGGTATTTCTGTTATAGCACCATGAGAAAACTAAAACAAAGTTTTTGCAAATAGTTGAAACAATATATAAATGTGAAAGATCAATCATTGAATATAGTTAAGCACACTTAGTTCCTGAGATTAGAGGTTTCATATAAGCCTGAATAATTAATATTTACAAATGGCAGTAGGACCTCTGCTTTTCTCCAAGGAGCTTGGAATACTTGTCAGGCATTATCTAATTAAACTACTCAATGTACCTGTGAAATGCATTGGAATCTATATTTTCAAGATGTGGGTACTGAAGCACAAGTGGGCTTAAACTAAACTCATTTAGCATGCCAAGGGCGAAATTGGATATAAGACTTTCAGTCGTATGATCTAACTGCCATTTTTCAACCGTGGCCCCCTCTAATCCACTCTATTCTAGCATAGCCTTACCAAACAACACGGTTTCATAAGTCTGGGAAGAATTAAATTAAGTGCAAAGCAATTCCAATTATAGGGAAGTTAGAATTTTAAAAGTTAAACATATCACCCATAATATTAGTAGTATTTATAGGTGAGTGTGTCTTAGTGTCATCATTCACTTTCTATAATGGCCTTGGTAAGGATAGTAACAGTTGGTCAAAATCTATTATGTATTATGTGTGTTTGTGAGGAGTCAGTAATGAAAAACAACAGTGGATATGGAACTATCTTTCATACTCTTCTTTTAGCCTTCTTATTCTTAGGTATAATGATACTACAATTTATTGAATGCTATGTGCTAAGCCCATTATATGTATTGTCATCTTCAGTCATCACTACCACCTCATGAAGTGCATATTTTTTACCTTTATTTTGTGAATGAAGCAGAGAGAAGTTAAGTAATTGACCCAAGGGTATATAAGTAGCAATTGGTGAAGTTAGGATATAAACCTAGATCTTTCAACCCCAAAACCTCTTCATTATGCTGCCTTCCATTTGTTACACTTGTTTTGTTCCTGTCTAGAATTAAGCTCTGGTGGTGTAGTGCCTAAGGCATTTGATTGCTAACCAGAAGGCTGGTAGGTCAAACCCACCAGCCCCTCCTCGGAAGGAAGATTGGGCAATCTACTTCCATAGAGATACCACCTTGGAAACCCAAGAAGGGGTCGCTATGAGTCAGATCTGACTCGACGGCAGTGAGTTTTTTTGGGGGGGATTTTTTTAGAATTAAGCACTGCACCCTGTAGGCACATCTCTCTTGTCCCCATACCCAGCCCAAGGTCCCTGAACATGCCTCAGCTTCAGGTGAGGACCTCAGCGTTTTGCTCATCTCAGAGGCATAATATAGAAATCATTTACAAATACGTTATAATGCATTTATTTATTTCTCATAATCTGTAGTTTTTGGTACAATCTTTTACTAACATGTTGCTGTCATAACCTCCTTGTTTTGTTGGTTTCAGTAATCATCATGTGTATGCATTCAGCCTTGATTGGGGGAGAAACTCAGAGGCATCTCTTGGAATGGGCTCATGATCTGAAAATGATGGATGGAACCTATGTGTTTGTTCCCTATGATGCCCTGCTCTACAGTTTACCTTATAAGCACATGCCCTACCAGGTCCTGAAGAACAACCCAAAGCTCCGGGAGGCCTATGATGCTGTACTGACCATTACAGTGGAGTCTAATGAAAAGACCTTCTATCAAGCCTATACAGAGGCAGCAGTTAGAGGTGAAATTCCCAAGCAGCTGGAGGCAGATCAAGTAAGTGCATATTCACAAATTATCATGAGCAGAGAACCTCAAAACTCAGAAAGGTAAATCTTTTTCCTATCAAGAGCTCCTATTCCATAGGAAACTCAATCAATAGTAGGCACACAAATCAAAAATACTTCTAAATAAATCTAAAAATGCTTCACAAAAACACACCGTTAGAGTTTGTTTATTTGTTTGTTTTTCCATCTTCAAGCAGCCCACAATGAATGAGAGCATACGGTCATAAAGAATAAATGAAATGTACTGTATTTGACAATGGCAAAACAAAGCTTTAATATATACTGGTGCCATTCAAGGGGGCCAAATAAAAAGAAATCCTCTTTCTGACCCAAGTTCTGAACTAATTCAGCGATGAGACAAAACAGTTGGTATATAAGAAAATATCACCTTAATTATATTGAAAAAAAAATGCTATTGGAGAATGCTGCTTCTATCATAGATATTTGAGCTTCTCAATACTGAGTCTGAGGGATGAATACACTTCTCCACCTAGTCACTGGCATTGCAGGACCACTGTAGTCCTTCCCCATGGGTCAGGCCTTTTTTTTTTTTAACATTTATAGCCTAGAGAGAACCATAGCAGAACACATGTGCCCTGTAGGTAGTTCACTCTCAAGATAAAGAAGATGGAAGGGTGCTAGACTACACATGCTTAATTCCCCTTCCAAACTAACCAATCAGATTCACTCCTCCTGTGTGGGGAGGAATGAGTAAGTGAATGAAGAGATGCTAGTTTTCTGCTAGTAGAGTTACCTCTGCATGGAAGGAATATTTAGGGATGGAGAATACAAATAGTATTTACGTATGTGTAGACATGTGTATGTGTAGACATACTTCAGATTCAAATCATAGTTACTTAAGGGCTAGAGGAAGAAAAAGGAGAGCAAAGACAAGAACAAAGTGGAAGAGTACAAAGAAGATAAGGAGCATGAGAAGAAGATGAGGAGAAAGAGGTAGCCAGATAAATTAGGAAAAAGTACAAATTTAAAAAATACAGGCAGGTTTCTATAGGTTGAAGGCCAGATGTAGGAAGTAGCTTATTGTTTTTCTAAATAAAAAAGTGACTAGGAGAGTTATTAACAGTGCTGAATTTAAACTTTATTTCCACTGATATGAACATATATGTTGATAATGATTCTCTTTTAGGAGATTCATACACATTTAAATCAAAATAACTAGCCAGTTTAGCTAAGATTTCTAAGAATCCCTCAAATTTCTAATAATTGTTGGCCCAACCACTTGTTTGCTGTTGTATATTCAGACGGTGAATTTTTTTTTACTTTGTAGCCAATAGTATGACTTCATATAGATAAATTCTAAGTCATTTTTCTACTTTAATCACATGGTTGAGAGAATGATAAAGGTGTGTGTGTGTGTGTTATACATATAAAAGAGCAAACACAGTGATTAAAAAAATGCAGATCTTTTAATATTCTATCCCATCCTGTTGAGTTTGTGGAAAACATAAGGCAATTAAGGTAAAAAGATCCACCATTAGCTTGGTTGCTAGGTAACCTGTACTCTGCTTTAGACAGGAAAATATAGCTAAAACAAAGAATCTAGAGTATATATATATGTTGTTGTTGTTGTTATGTGCCATCGAGTCGGCCCGACTCATAACGACCCCTCCTTGGGTTTCCAAGGCAGTATCACGATGGAAGTAGGATTGCCCAACCTTCCTTCCGAGGAGTGGCTGGTGGGTTTGA